GTAGTTAAAGAAAAAAGAGAATGTTGGATAAAAGGAAAAAAATATGAATAGGAATTAAAATAAAAAACACATACCATAACATGTGCAGGTAAAAGATGTTTACTTTTAAGTGTCACTGCTACATACTATTTACCACATTGTAAACGGAGACCCACCCCCAGCACTCAACCTAAACTGGTCCAGGTATGCATGCCCATATCTCAGCCAAAATCAGACCAGCCCTTATGGTCCGTAATCGGGCCGAATGTGGCTAAATGTGCCATGTCTCAGTGCAAATTGGGCCAGATCTGTAAAAGCCTAGCCAAATCTGGCAACCATTACTGACATCCAAAGCCTAGCCAAATCTGGCAACCATTACTGGGCCAGAGCTGGCTCACTTTCGGTGAGCCGCTGCCAGAACACAGCCGAGTGAGCCGACACTCAGCCGCAATTGGCCCGATTGCGCTGGCTACCTGGGTAATGCTGCGTGTTTCAATATTTCTGTATTTTAATAAATGCTGAATTAAACGAATTTCAGGGCTCTGTATAGGTCATCACACAAAAATATCTGCAACATTTTCATTGGAAAGATAGTATTACAGGGTTATAAAAATAACCTGAGAATAACCATTAGGGAACATTCTGTATAAGTTATTTTTAAGGTTATTTAATAATAACCACCATGCAACGTTCTGAGAACGTTAAGCTAACGTACGTAATCTAAAAAGAACATTCCCCTAACATTAGTATTTGGTTCCCAGAAAACAACAACAAAACAAAAAAAAAAACGTTAGCTGAACGTTCTGTGTTTGCTGGGAAATACGATCTCACTTTCGGGAGGAGATTGAAGCTGTAACTTTAACTTTTAATTTTCCAATAACTGTGTTGTTTCACACCAACAAAATGAGTTGAAAGCCCCAAAAAGCAATCATAATAGTTCATGGCTTTTAGATAGAAGTCTAACTTAAAATATGAAATGATTTATTCTTGATGCAAGTAGGCTACAATGAGCAGACAATAAAAAAATAGACAATACAATTTGTTGATAGAATTATTAAGGAGTTTAATTCTTGGTGAAGCAAATAAAAAAAATAAGTGAAAGTTGAAACCAATGAGACAGATCTCAGATAAAGAAAAAAAAAACAATATGTAACAAATTAAAATTAAATCTCAGTTTCTCTTAAAAGTATTACATCCTCTTCTTAGCTAGAGAACAATAATGGCTTAAATGTCAGAAACCTTTACTATTTAAAAAAAAATGTAACAATTCAAAACTCATCCAAAAGAACCATCTGAATCTCACAGATGAAAAGATTTACTTTATTCATGGTGAAAACTTTAGATGTTTTTTGTCCTGTCCTGTCATTTTTTTTTTTTGGCTGCGTATGACAGATTTATACAGAAGAAATGTTATTGTGTCATGTTTGGTGAGGACGAGGCATCAGACCTGAGAGTGCTGGATCTGTAGATGATCTACTTACTGTGATTGCTTTTTGTATGCTTGAGTAGATTAGATAATTGAGTGAAACTCTTCCCGCATACAGTGCAGTGAAACAGTTTCTCTCCAGTGTGGATCCTCTCATGTCTTTTCAGGTCTCCTGACTGACTGAATCTCTTGTCGCAGTGTGAACACATGTAAGGTTTCTCTCCAGTATGGATCATCTGGTGTCTTTTCAGATGTTCTGACCGAATGAATCTCTTGTCGCAGTGTAAACACATGTAAGGTTTCTCTCCAGTGTGGATCCTCTCATGTCTTTTCAGGTCTCCTGACAGACTGAATCTCTTGTCGCAGTGTGAACACATGTAAGGTTTCTCTCCAGTGTGGATGCTCTCATGTGTTTTCAGGTCTCCTGACAGACTGAATATCTTGTTGCAGTGTGAACACATGTAAGGTTTCTCTCCAGCGTGGATCCTCTCATGTCTTTTCAGATTTGTTGACCGACTGAATATCTTGTTGCAGTGTGAACACACGTTAGGTTTCTCTCCAGTGTGGATCCTCTCATGTGTTTTCAGGTCTCCTGACAGACTGAATCTCTTGTCGCAGTGTGAACACATGTAAGGTTTCTCTGCAGTATGGATCATCTGGTGTCTTTTCAGATGTTCTGACCGACTGAATATCTTGTTGCAGTGTGAACACATGTTAGGTTTCTCTCCAGTGTGGATCCTTTCATGTGTTTTCAGGTCTCCTGACAGACTGAATATCTTGTTGCAGTGTGAACACATGTAAGGTTTCTCTCCAGTGTGGATCCTTTCATGTGTTTTCAGATTTGTTGACCGACTGAATCTCTTGTTGCAGTGTAAACACATGTAAGGTTTCTCACCAGTGTGGATCATCTGGTGTCGTTTCAAATCTCTAGCTGTAATAAAAGTATTCTCACACTCAAAGCACATGTACTCTCTCACACCAGTATGTATTTTCTTATGTTCTTTTAGACTTCGCAGTTGTGAAAAACTTTTTCCACATTGATCACATGTGTAAGGTTTCTCTCCAGTGTGGATCCTTTCATGTGATTTCAGATATGCTGAGCAACTAAATCTCTTCCCACATTGATCACAAGTGAACGGCTTCTCCCCCGAATGAACTCTCATATGCAACGTAAGGCTTCTTTTTTCTGCAAAACACTTCCCGCATTGATCACATGTGAACGGCTTCTCTCCAGTGTGGATCCGCATGTGAACTTTGAGACTTTTATTACATGTCAAACTCTTTCCACACTGACGGCAGATGAAACTGTTCTTGTCTCTTCTTTTCAGTAAACAACTACCTTCAGTCTGTGAGTGAGTTTTCTCTACAGTTTTGACACAATGATGTTTCTCCTCCATCCGGTCTGAAATGAAAATAAAAAATTAGGGCTGTCAATTTAACGTTTTAATTTAATTAATTAGTTCAATCATGACAACTCTCTGAACATTTTAGCATGGTGATGGATATGACAATGTTAATGTATTTGGTCTTGGCGGAACAGATCTGCTACGCTGCTGCTGAATTGCTGCTGCTGTTGGTTATTGCTGTAGTTATATATAGATTGAAGGGAATTGATGATTGAACACATTGTATTTATATATACATATTTTTACGTTTACATTTTTATTTATTTTATTTATACAGTTCTTCTACATTTATATTTATTTATAGTACAGGAACTTGCTACTGCCAATGCATATGGTGATACGGTGCCATGAGTATTTAAGACATGCTGCTACAAATAGCATATAAAATAACCCATAGCAGATCTATACAGGTGGAGCTGGGGAAGGTGGAGGGTTTCAGAGAAACTCTGAAAGCGCGCTGCAGGAATCTCTAGTGAATGCTAGCCAGCCATATAAATGCAAGGCAGTAAGCTCATTGGCTGCATATGCAGCATGAACCAATCAGCTTGTGCCAAGTCGTTTAACTCTCTGAATATCATCAGTTACGTTAACACCCTGTCAGAATGCGCCATCTAGAGTTTCATGACTGAACTATATATTTATGGAAACAATTACGTGTTAAAATTATTAATGCAATTAATGTACCCGCCCAAGACCTACATACATCATCTTACATTTAATACAGTGTGTTCGGCTTGAAGCGGCGATGTGCAGACGAATCGGTGTTTGACATCTAAGTATTCATACGGAGCATCTTCTCTCTAATCGCTCCTGTGGTAATTTGACTTCAAGCCGAACACACCTGTACAGTTGATTGGTGATGAATATGATGCAGAACTCACTGCGTGACAGAGCCTATAGGATGCAGTTATATGCCCCTAAAATTCATCCGTTTGAACGAATCGAATGAATGACTCAATGGCTGTGTTCAGAATGGCACACTTGCTTACTGCTTACTAGGGGTGGAACGATAAATCAATTTGTGGATCGATTATGCGATTCTCCGAAAGCATCACGATTCTCTCTGGAATTGATTCTGAGCTTAGTTTTTAACAGCAGATGGCACTGCGTGCTTTAGAAACAGCCGTACTCTGCTTGCTTCCAGTTCCTTACACACACACCACTGGAGCGTGTGTAGAGCCATAACACCTGGAGCCATCTGCTGTTAAAAACTAAGCTCAGAGTCACGATGCATTCGGAAAATCGCAGAATCGATCCACAAATCGATTTATCGTTCCACCCCTTCTGCTTACTGCCCAGTACACGGTGCATACTGCCTACTATTTTATTAAGAATAGTGTGTGTGAAACAGTATACAATAAGCAGCAAATAATGTTTCAGAGTAGTATGCTACAGTGTTGTCACATGACAAACAGGGAGCATTAATTCAACACAGCTGTTGTGGTTGTTACTGTACAAATAAAGGTGCTAACCGCTTCTTTTACTAAGGCCTCTTCTTGATGGTTTCATGCTGGTCTTCACTTGTAGGCTGATGGGAATATTCCAGCATTTATTGGTGAACTGCAGTGGAAGGAGCTTCAGTGAAGGAGCAGATCTGCCAAAATCAAGAATCAATCAGTTACTTTTGGGTCATTCCGTGTCAAATCATCCAATTTTCAGAAATTTCCCCAGCTCAAATTTTTGATTTTGCTAATATTTTTTTCTGAAGAAACATGTATAGTGATGATAGCCCAAATATGAAATGTCATGTATGAATATTATGTTATGAATATTTAAGTAATCCACTATTTTGTAGAGGGGGGTCAAAATGGCAATTTTCACCTGAGATTCAGAGCCAAATTACAGGGGGTTAAAAATGACTTCAGAAAGATGGCAGGATCACAATGCTATTTTCACCCAGAGATTGGTAGGTCTAAAATATGTTGAGTTTAGCAATCTTTGTTGCATTATGCGCCAATGGTGACCATTCAAAAATGGGGAAAGAGCACTTTTCAAGTTTTTCTCCAAAGTTTGCAGGCCTGTACCTCAAAAAAGTATTAAAGACATCTTAATGCCCTTTTAGATATTGGGTCTTAACAAACTTCCCTTTTGACATCTTAATTTTTAAGGCCCTATATGGTTCGGTTTCAGAGATAATGGAGTTTCAATATGACTCCAGGAGTAAATTGTTAAATTGTACACATTTTCAGTGGTCAAAAACCAAATGTGGGTCATTTTCTTTTTTTCTCTTAAAGAGGAATGTCTGAAGAACAAATAATGTTGAAACTAGAAATGCATCTTGTTCCCTTCTGTCCAAACGACTACACTGAACATAAATGTCTGAGTGCCATGAGTATTCTTTTTCCAAAGTTTGTGTGCCTATAACTCAAGAAGTATTAAAGATATTGCAATATGATTTTAGAGTCTAGTTCTTAATAAACTTTTCTTTTGGAATCTTTATTTTCAAGGCCCTACATTGTTCAGTCCCAGAGATATCGGGATGTCAATGAGGCTCCATATTCAGATTGTTGAATAATACCCCTTTTTGGGTGGTCACTTTGTATTAGGGATGTAACGGTATGAAAATTTCTTATCACGATTATAGTGACCAAAATGATCACGGTTATCAGTATTATCACGGTATTGTTAAAATGTGCTGGAAATGTTCAAAAAGTACTGACACACAAATCATGTCACCAAGTTTTACAGTCATCAGTATTATCTGTGATTTAAATTTTGTGAACGGGAGTTTCCCATCATGTTATAAGCCGGGCTTGGGGTGCTTTCACTTTCGAATTCGCGATCTTGGTGTCACGTTTTACAAGAAAAGATAATTGTCTGATTTGCTTACATACATCTATACATATTTCACTTTTTAAGACTAAAACAAAAGACGGATTCATTGTTATTCTTAATTAAAAAGCATAACAACAATAAA